TTTTTTTTTCTTAAATGCAAAATAATTATATATTGTTTTCAAATTTAGCAAGACAAATAATTCCATAATACTTCACAATTTGAAATGTTAAATATGCAGATTTTAATCAAAATAAATCAGAATGGTAATGTTTTCTTTTTTGGTAAAAAATGAAATGTATATCTTAATGGCCCTAAAAATAGACCACTTTGTTTATGAACAAATATAATTTCTTCTTTCTTTCTGTATGTTTGGGGTGAAATATGAGATTCTCTGGTTCTCGTGTGTGTGGCATTGCAGATATAACATCAGTGATGAGCGAAACGCAGCTGCTTTAATCCCAGAATTCCTTCAGCTGATGTCTACAGATGTAAAGCACAGCGGTGCAGACGGCTCAAAACCAGCTTAGCAGAGCTGTGTGTGACGAGTGTAGCGTGTAGCAGCCGCCGTGTGTGTGTGTGTGTGAATCTAGCGTGATCTGGTGCTCGGTGTCGTGTGCTTCTTCACTGTTTCACTGTGTGTTCGTGCTGACGCTGGCTCTGAGTGTGTAGCGGCAGCCAATCACGCGTGTCTCCTGTAAACCACACGATGCTGTGCTCATTAATAAATGTATCTTGTAAAACATGATAGACGCATCCGAACTGACTTTTCTCTAATAAACATCCTGTTTGAACTGCTTCTGTGACCTTTGACCTTTTTTTTTTACAATTCCTCTGTCACCTGTCAGGTAGCTCCTTCCACTGTTACCACGGTTACCGTGGAACCTGTTTATAACGGGCTGTGTCTGTCTGTCTTGTTGCCTAGGCAACAGCTGCCCTGAGTTCCACCCCGCCGGACAGATTAAAGAGATTCAAAGGCACGGTGGGCGGGGCAAGTCCGGCAGAGGCCCCGCCCCCTCTCCTTCCCCCCAGCAGAGGATGGCGCTGCTGTCACAGGTAAGGAATCAGCACAGAAACACATGCAGACGCCTTATGGATGTGAGCAGCATTGGGCCTGTTTTTCAGGAGCCGCTGCGGGAATCTCTGGACATCCTGACGTCTGTCGAGTACAGCAGGTGAACGTCAGCATTTGAGACGCAGACACAGACGTGATGAAGCACAGTGACACGGTTCTGAGTCTGTGAGTGTCTTTCAGATGTGAGCTGCAGCCTCGGCCCAGCCGGATCCCGGTGCGGAGAGAGCCTCCTCTGACCGAGACGTCCAGCCTGAGAGTGTGGAAACTCCTCAAACCCGGCGTCGAGAAACACCCGGCGGGTCAGAGTCGCTCTTTTCACCCTGGGTCATATCTGAGGCACACATTCCAAGCCTCGGAATGATCAAAATGTGTTTTCATTTCAGTGTAATTGTAGAAACGTCCCGGTTTTGTTGTCAGATCTTGACTG